ATTTTAGGTAAATTATCAATATTAACAAGTTCAATTTAAGTTATACTACATTAATATATAATTTATAGATAATTTGAGCTAAAATAATATTTATACAAAATAGTCAAAAATATTTGTATATAAAAAGCAGGAAATTATTGTATAAATATTTGTATTATAAGAAAATAAATAAAATCAGCTTGGAAGCTTCCACTAAATGTAACTTGTTTGATAAATTGTAGAAATATTAGTTTTTCACAAAACCTTCATAATACCGTAGTTGTCGCGACACTTACAATACACGACTCTATTAATGAATTCAATGTTAAACTTATTTTTCAAACATTTTTGATTTGGATGGGAAGGAAAGTCATCCATGAGCTGAAGTGCTGATACGATTTGGCATTTAGACTAAATTATTTACTCAACTAAATGGTCATAAATCTTGTGTTAGAAATGTAAATATATTATTAATAGGAATAAATTTATGATAATTGTTCAAATAAATTCAATTGCAATTACTTTTCATCTTTCGATATAATTCACACCATTAGGGGACACACCCTCAGCTCATTTGTATATTTTTGATAATTTTTGAATTAGAAATATATGCAAATTATGTAATAGTCTGAAAATGATAGTTTTATTTATAAGTTCATATTTGATTTGATTTTTTGTATAATAAATTATAATAATATTTCAATTGATTGCCAATTGAGTTATGAAATTTATTTAAACTACAAAACCAATCACATAACAGTTGAAAATATCAGCTTAAAGACTTTTCAAAAACTTGCAAACTTGTTAGAAACATTACAAAATATTACACCACAGACTCTATATTTCTAATACAAAACAGGTGTTAGTGTGTTATGAAAATCTAAACGTCTGGACAATCATATGATAACTTATTGTACTATTTTTTCTATCGAAATATAAAAATAATAAACAATTCATTTCAAGGGTAAGAGTTTGTGAAGACAATTCAAATATGAATGATAAGTTGATAAGTTATGTGTGTTTTCATGGCATTTCAATAAGAGAGAGGAGTTTTTATTCACTTAAAAAATAAATGTCAAGATTTATAGCAATTTTAGTGCAAATAATGAGCGAAGGAGTGGACATGAAATGTAAATTCCGACATAAAAAACGAGTTAAACGTTAAGATAAAGCCGAGACTTACTGATGAGTGACTCACGATTTTTGTATTTCGCTGCCAAAAACTTCATAATAAATTCAATTTAGAGATTATTTACAAAAATAAGACACAAAATGTATTAACACATAAGAAAAGCTTTTCTCTCCCCTTATTGTTGCGATTAAGCGTTTGGTTTTGAGTGTGTTTTACCCAAACGGTTACGGATCAGGAGATCGGATGAGGTTTTCTTGGTTTCCATTATACTGTCATTCAGGCCATTAAAGCGTGTCCTCTCGTGTCTGCCCCTCATGTCTATGGTCTGTATGGCTGGGCATCGGGTGTGGAGCCGAACGCCAACTGTCGCCCAAACATTTACTCCATTCACAGCTATAAAAGTCAATGAATTTGTCTGAATCTCAGTCTCTTCACTGACTAAACAGTTTTGAATAAAGCTTTTCTTGTCATAAACTTCCAGAAAATGTGTACTCGACTTGAAGTTATTTCCTAAACTTTGAGATAATATGAAAAATATTGTCAATTCGCTGAATCTGTTTGTCTGTTGTGTGTTATGTCTGTTCGCTTCGTCATGTCATTGCTCACATGAAGTTTACGGAACTTATAAACTCGTCGATGGCTTCAAATACAATAACTATTTACAGCAATCACTGCAACCATCGACACCACCACCACATGCACTGCCACTCCAGACCACACAAACACCGACCACAACACCAAATACAACGCTTGAGTCAACAGATAAGAGAGAGACTGAGGATCAGTGGAAACAAGTGAGTCCTCCACCAGTTATTGACACAACCACTGTATCACCAATTAGTGCCTCATATCAACAACCATTAAATCGTTTTCAAACATCTGTTAATTACAATCCAGTGATGGCCAGGAAGATAGGTTTAAGTACTCTTATGGTGAGTGGTGTGCTCTACGGACTAACTGTATTGCCCGCTATCATCGCACTTACATCTGGCGCGACCCCTTTGGCCGGTATATAACCAAACAAATTAGATGTCAACTCTTGTGTCTAAAACCAAATCTCTGTCATTATTATTAGGTTTGTTCAGTAGTTTAGGTCGACGTAAGAGATCCCTCGTTAATGAGTCGCATATTTACCGTCAGTTACCACTCCTTACTAATGAAGAAACCTATAAATTCTTGACGCTATTTGAAAGTACTTTAGCAGTGAGTTATCAATAGATTACTACATGTGATCATACATTATAATTAAATATTTAAAATTTAAATAACTTTTAGGCTCGCAAAATCGAAAGTCCCGGCTGCAAAAAGTACTACACGTGTAAAGTATTTTACGCTGTATTGAAAAGCGGGGAAAAACCAAAGTTACCCGTCTTTGAGAATGCAATCATCAATGTGTTTGGGTTTGAATTGATGACAATATCTTGTTTTCAATTATCAATGATTTTGATTTTAATTTCCCAGAATCGCTGTCGAGAGAAAGGATTACAAAATACAATTCATACCGACTGTCAAACTGTATTATAATGTGGCGAAGGATGCCTTGAAAGGGGAGTCGTGTGCCCGAAGGTATCCCTGCTCATTCCAGGCTCATCACCACCATTATCACAAACATGGATTATAGGTTAACCAATAGATTTAATTATTGCTTTTGAAGTCAAGGATAACTAATTGAGAAATATTTATTTGTATTATAACTTATAATTTATGTTTTTTGTATACGATTCCTATTATTATTTGTCTGCACATTAAGTATATATTTTTGTATAATCTATTGAATATATAAATTTTATTTAATGATAAGAACTATTAAATTGTTTTTCTATTCAATTATATAAACATTTAGATTAATGAGAAAAATAATGGATTTTTAGTGTATTCAAAGTTTATTTAGAAAAGTATTCAATAAAATGAGAGATAATTTGGTGAACAATGAGAATAATAAGAAAATGAATTAAACTTTTATAGTATTTATTATGAAATGTGAGAATTGGTTGTAAACAAAATTCTTGAAACAATTAGAAACTGCCGGACCTTAACATTCATATGGCTTTCCCATAGAGAATCTGTGGAGCAATAAGTTGATGGCATTACTGGCCCTGAAAAACATCTCAATACCGATGTTGTTGTTGTTATGGGTCAGTCAGGTGTCAGGTCATCGCCTTTCATTACAGGTGCAAACCCCTTATCAATGTTTTACATCAATGTGTTTATGGCACTTGTTTTTCCTTATACTACTTGTCCCACAGCCCTGCCCTTCAATTCTTTATGTATTTTGTAGATTAATTAAAAACTTAACAAAAAAAATTTGTATACAGTATATTTGTAAAAAAACTAGATATATGTATATTTGTATTAATTACTGCATTTATTATAATTCTTTATTCAGTTGTATAACAAGTAAAACACATTTCCCTCTTTTAAAAAATATATTTTCACTTTGACTTGAATTCTTTGCATTCAATCCGTGGCTAATACCAGAGCATCCGATCATTTTAATTGAGTTTTTCAATGTATTTCTTAATTCAATTATCGGCTGTTTAGTAGTTTCACTGAAAACAAAACCAATACTTTCAATCTTATGACTTAAATTATGTTGCAATTCCTCATAAATTGATTTCAAATGAGATTCAATATAAGTGTCGCTGAAGTCTATAACATAACTAAATGCCTTGACATTAGAGCCCGAAAATGTGAGACAACAGATATAATCAATATATTGGTTGCAATTATCAGTGTCTGTGGCCTGGGAGGCGGCCAATCGGTCGACAGTCACCCCACCGAACGCTATATTATGATTGCATTGATGAACAAACTGTTCCAGGTATTCGAGGTACTGATTATCAGTTTTCAATCGACTAAAATGCCCGAAAAATGATCGCCAGATATGAAACACAAGAATACATTTGAGATTCTCATCGGATTTAATGTGGAATACATTGGAGTCGTTATAGACGTGGACTTCAATGCCGGGCATCGCTCTCGACATAAAAAAGGCTGAAATCGCAGACAACAAGTCAAAGTCGGACTCGTACTCCACGTACTGATTGGCACCCAAATACTTATGATCGATCAGCTCTTGAGTACCAATGACTTCGTTGCGGCAATTAATTTGAATAATAGTGCAGTCGTTAGGTATGTGTTGGCGAACCAGAAAGTCTTCCATTCGATGGAAATCCAGTTTCGAGAAGACAATAATCAACTGGAATTCTTTCAATCGATTCCTCGACAGATAATTATTATAGGAATCGATCGCCTCATCGAAACTTTCTCTGAATATATTGAGATATTTATCTCTCAACGTATGCGCCGATTGTGTCGATAATAGACCGAAATAAAGCAATTTATGCGAAAAGTATTGCCGTTTATATGCAATTAGTTGTGAAATAAGTTTCCATTTGATGCACACTTGCGAGCATTTAATCAGTTCCGAGGGCTCTAACCATTTGAAGATATTCTCCATTATTAAGTAATTATTCACTAATGAATGCTTTAAACACAACTCGTAATTGTCGGCAATCCTGTTATATACAGAGGGATAGAGGGGTTTATAACATGAAAATTTATTCAATACTTTATAGTTGGCTATAATTTGACGACTATTTGAGGTTCGCTTACCTGTGATTGGGTTCGTTGTGAACGCATTCCTCGTATTCGCCCCCAGATATCGACTCATTAGACATCTTATGAGACATAAAACAAACAAATATCACTCGAAACACTTCCAACCAAAACACCCTTATCTCGCAGTCAATCAATTTATAAATCCATTATTTATTTCGCTAATTACATAACTTTTATACACAACTGAATGCTAAAAAAATTATATTCAAGCCAAAAGTTTATAAAATATTAAAATATTACGATATATAACAAAATTATTCTCTAATTTGGATTAAATTTCACACAACATTTGAATTCCGGCATCAAAATGAGTGTTTCATAATCTAATCGATAAGCGATATAATAATTATATTTGAAAAAAAGTTTCTCATTTCCAAAATGAAGACTAGTTTTGGAATAAAAACCAAATTTAAAATTAAGTGAATTCAATTCAATGTGAATTATAATCAATGTATAAGTAATACATTATTGTTATGTAAGAGTCACCTCTAATACGAGTTTCAATTAATACAGAGGTTTTTGTACGCAATTCAACGCAAAATCCAATATAAAAGTTTAGCGCAATTTTATAAAAACCAATTCAATGTATGGTTGCATTACATTGCCATTCGCTTAGAGATACCCTATAATTATCATAATTATAACATAATTAAGAGATTTTTGCACATAATTTAGTGTAAAATTTAAAAAAATTATGAATTCCTAGATTTATTGAAATAATTAAATAATCGGTAAAAATATAGATAATATTTAGTTAATAAAACGATGTGTTAATCAAATGAAGACTTTTTAAGAATATTAATCAACACAATGATAGTGCTGTCAAAGAGTGTTGTCTTATAGTTGCTCTCCTCATGGGAGGGGACAGGCATACCGGGCCAGTAGTTTTGTCCGAAGTTGATGACACTGATAGCGCCCGCGAATATCACGTTCGGGAATATCCGATGAATGAGTTGAGAGGACTCGCCTTCTTTGAAATGACAGTAACGGTTGAAACGGTAGGGTATTATACGGCAAAACACAAACGCAAAAGTAGTGGACAGTCGCCGGTCGTCCGCATCAAAGCCGAGCCGCGACTTGAATTCAGTTAACAGGCGTTCAGTGGACTCGAGATTTCCGGTCTTCATTTCGATACTACAGGCGCTCACATTTGGGCCGCGGATTGCAATACATGCGAACGGCTTCTCCGCTTCGGCCGACTCATAGCCAGCGCTGACGTCAATGGCGGTGACTCTTGTGCCCCCAAACGCCAACTTAAACTCCATTTGTTTCATCACTTCCCACATGTGATGATTGCAATTATGCCATAAGTACTGATCGGAAGTGTCTCTGCGGTCGTAGTCTTTTGCGGACTCGAAGTACAAAATACATTTCATGTCGGGATCAGCTTTCAGTGATTCACAGATCTCTTGATCGTAATAGACGTCAATCTCGAGACCGCTAATCCTCGACAGCAATAGGTGTGATATACCGGCCAAACCATTGGCGGCCGGATATGGACACCGGTTGTGGTCTGAAGTGCCGATTATCGTCTGAGTCTCCAAATGAATGAACAGACAGTCTTTGGGCAGATATTTGCGGTAAGCGTTCACTTTGAGCGCCGCATACCAGCCTTCCTCGCGACTCAGCTTCGCGTTAAACATAACCACCAATTGTGGGATCAATTGGATGTCACTCTTGTAGTAATCGCACAGCCGTTTGACCACCGATTGGCGATCGCTTAAGACAAACGGCTTGTTCTCCGTGTCGTCGTTGGCGTCCGCGTCAGAAGACACCGACGACTCGATGGCGAAGCCGTAGAACAGATGGTCCACAAGAACTCGATGGCAACGATAGCGGACTTCGCGGTCGCAACAGTTCTGCCATAACTTGCAGACACGGGATGTGCTCTTGAGGTGACCCTACGGCGCCTACACCGCGTACTAGACGAGGTTGTCGTCCACTAACATGTGGTGAAGGAGGTACAGAACACCACACACGACAGTTACCAAACCTAAAACTGTTTGTGAAGTTTTGTTTGTGATTAAGACAACAAAATATCGCCAATATTTACAACCCATTCGTATAAATGATTACTAATTAACGTGTGTTTGGGTGTAAGTGCAGTGAACAGGGTTTCTTATTAACTTTATTACAATGTCTCACAATAAGGGGCACAAAGTATTGGCATTTATGTGACAAACATTTGTATTAATATTGGGATTAAATAATTTGATTTTGATTTGAAAATTGAGTGGTTTTTGGTTTATATAGTAATCTCTGGTAACACGAGAGGACACCACTCCTCATATTATGTGAAATTATAGTTAATTTTGAGCGAAAAAAGTTTGAAACAAAAATTGATTTATTGAACAAGGTCATTTTGTTAGGTTTATTACAATTGTATGAATGCTTTGACTTTATATAAAATTGAATGGGTGTTGAATTAAGTTTTGGTTTAATTGAGTTGATCTAGATAATAATATTTGCATTTTATATTATGTGTTATATTCAACCAATTCTTCACTCAAATCTCAAATAAAACTTTTAATAAGTTTTGCAATTTTAATGACAATTTATAAACAATTGAATGAGTTTTGGGTTTAAAAATCAGTTTCAGACCAAATCTGTTGTCTGCACTCAAGTCACCAGAAGATCCAGTGATGGCATTGGCGTCGGTATGAGTGGTGGTGTCGGCAGTAGTGCCGATGAGCCCTGAGGTAGTGGCCAGTCGTGAGCACCGGCTGTTTGTGAGCTCCGGTTCATGCGGTGGTCTAATAGTGATGTATTCGTCTGAGGCTCCGGTGGACGATAGCCCGGCAGAGGACTGTCCGGTCTGACTGTCCGTCCGGTATATACTGTTTATCTGATATATCGGTCGACGTGTCGATGGGATGGTCCTTAGGTCCGGTGCATCGCATCCACCGGTGAATACCTATCGGAATACCTCTCACCCTTTCGCATGTCCTCGTGGTAGTCACACAACAGACCGGTAGCTCCCTGTCCACCATCACTGGGCTCTCAGTCAATGCCTGCCTTTCATACGACTTCCCCCTCACATCACTTGTGGCGACGACTTCTTGCATAGCATTTGGTGGTCAGCGCTGACAGTACTGTCGGACGGCTGGACATCAACCCAACTCTCAACTCATTGTATGCTTTTGTTTGTGAATTAATTTTGTTTTCTTTTACTTTTCAGACGCCTTTCCTCCGACCCAATGACACAAACCGTGGAATGCATTGAATGGTAGGAAACAGTGGAATCGGTTGTGATATATGAAGTGAGCCTTAGATTTACCGTAGATTTGAACGGTTATAACGATTGGACACATAATTGTTGTGAACACAGGAACGTATGGTAGCAGTGGTTTGGGATCTGATTTTCGTTACATTTAATAAATAAATACTCAATAAAATGATATTTAAAAAAAATAAAAAGCAACATTTATTTATTAATATTAATTCTTATGTTATATTTGATATATAAATTACTAAATAAAAACATTTTTAATAGTAAATAAAATGAATATCAAGGGTTCATTCCCAGGCTACCCTTCCCATCCTTTTATTCATTTAATATAATACTTTACACCGTTTTCTCTGATAATAGCAATGCATAGCAATAGGACTGCAAATAATTTAAAGTTTATTACATTTATAATTTTCGAAACTTTAATAACAATAAAATTGAAATCTTTATAAATTAAACTCAAATCAGTTTTAGTCTATGAAACCAATCACAGGGTTTACGGCCAGTTGTGGACAGTCTTGTTGTGTTGATTGAGATTTACAGACATTTGATGCATCCGTTGGACAACTTCTCGTCAGACATTCAATACTAATCATTGATTTCTTGTATCCTAACAGATATGCACCAAATCTATAATACTGACCACAGGAACACCAGTTCCTCAACACAGATAGCGATAGACACGGGCTCTGAGGGCACGCCTTCCTCCTCCTCAAGTAGTATTGGAAGTCATTAGAGATTGTCTGCGGAGTGGAGAGAGTGAGGAGTAGAGGAAGTGCCACAACACGTCTTAAGTCAGAAGCGATCCACAGATGACCCGTCAATGACTCTCAACAAGAGATGAGACACCGATTCACAGGAGACCTACCCTTGGCTTAAGACATCCGTTGCGGTAAACGACTGGTCATCTCATGACTACCTATGGCTGTGCCGTTGGGACCGAATCTCCCGAAATCCCATACAAAGAGACAAACAGTTAAGAGATCGTGGATTCTATGCCTCCCGACGCCCATTGAGTAGTTCTTACGTCATACCAACGGAACGGTTGGTGAGGGATCTAAGCCTCCGAGATGTGAGGAGTGCCCTCCGAGGGAAAGGGGTGGGTGTGGGTCAGGGGTGTTGGGAATCCAGACAGTCCGGGAAGTCAGTGACTTCTGGTGCTGGGAGTTCGGACAGACCACTGGTCCGGATAGTCCGAGGGGTCACTGGCTTCAGGTGCTGGGAGTCTGGACAGTCCGACTGACCCGGGGATCGGAGGGCACAGGAGGTGGCAGTTGACGCGAGAAACTAATCGTCCGTTTCCTAAGACATGCCGTGAGTGGACAGTCGGCACCCATTAGTCCGTCGTCAATCTTCTGTATCATTGGTTTCACAACTAAAGCGTAAGTATTACTTGTATTTCATTTGAATTTGTTTTTAATGTAAAAATGTCTGTAAATCTCAATCAACACATAATCGGTAAGCCTTTAATTGAATGTTTGATTTCTATTTTAATTAATTTTGAATTTGAATTTCTGTTGTGAGGAATTGCGTTCAATGTTTATTTTAATATACGAGAGACTTATACTATAATGATAGTGTGGACAGTGTTTGGACCAGGCTAAATCTAAAGTTTGTATTTCAATACATAATGTGGTAGTTAAGATAGTATTAACAATAATTGTGGACATATTAATATGCATTCAATGCACTTCATATGAATTTCATATTAAATATTCAATTTATGTTTTTCAACAAATTGTCAGATTTCAAAAACTGATTACTATATAAAAATGACAAGTATTTGAAAAATAATTTGTTTCACTTAAACGAAAGAAAAATAATAAATAAAAATGCATTTATATTTTTACTTTTAATAGCTCTCTCTCTCTCTCTCTCTCTCTCTCTCTCGTCATAAATAAATAAAAATAAAAATTAATTAACTCTTTATATTTTAAATCACTTTAAAAATGTGTTCATCTTATCAGTCAATCGAAGAGCAAAAAAGTTTATTTTTACTTTTAAATCAAAAAAGTTTTGCTTTCAATCTCTAATCGAAAATAGTTTAAAGAATTTTTAAAGAGATTTCTCACAACAAGTTTAACAGTAAATTAGAAATTTTTCTCTCTCGTTATAATTTCTTGTAATAAATGGCAAATAATTGGCAAAATAAAGGACTTTTTGCCGCAAATGAAACATACTGTGTATAGTGAGTCCAAAAATGTTATCCAGTTTTCAATCACTATTTCGGATGAAATTAGAGAGAGAACTGAATACAGTATAACAACTATTTACTTTAACTACACATTAATTTTTAAATAAATATAGAAATAATATATAAGATATCGTATTTTGTTATACAGTATAAAACGATAAAATCTATTTTTAATAACTTTTATTCTCCACTCAAAAACGCTTTTGATATATAAAACCGTATATTTCTGTGAGATATTTGAAAAGTTGTGGCAAATATCTCACTGTTTTCTTAAGTCAATGGAAACTATATTTTTTAGATTAAAATCAATATAATAGAGTGAAAATATTAGAGCCAGTATTATATGAAATATTTTTAAAGCCAAAGACTGCTGTGACTGCGAGTGAGTGAGTGAGAGAGAGAGAGAGAGAGAGAGAGAGAGAGAAAGAGAGAGAGAATTTATATTACGTTTCGTTTGCATTTTTATTCATTTAATGCCTCAATAGCCTGAAGTGAGAAAAAGGTTTTTCACTTTTATTTACAATAAAGTCTTCATATAATATACAAAAATTTATGTATGAAAACGAGAATAACTTTATTTTAATATAATATTCTAGAATTTTTTATACCATATAAAAATTTTCATATATATTCTTATGTTCTGTTCACTGAATTTCTCTTATATAATATAAGTGTAATACATGTCATAAGTTACACAATTTTATATATCATATTGCTTTATATTTGGTGTTTCATATAATTTACTTTACTTTTATTCTGGGCTCACATTTAAAGTAAATTTCGTAATTTTAAATACAATTTACAACTCATAAAAATAGCTGTTTAGTCTATAGTATTATTATATCATATTTGAGATCTATTTTTATTTTTATCTCTTTATTTGAGATAACTTGCTTTGCATCAGCTTTTGGTTATAAAAGTTTTTATATTTTTGATGCTATTTATCGATCCTTTATTTTAAAACACGGAATGAGAGACCAAAAGGAGACGCGATGGAGAATATTAGGGAACTTTAGGGACACAACAACTCGGGTTTGCAATCAATTGTTTCCACTCTAATAATGTGTAAGTAATAAAAAATATCTTAACATTTAAAGCAATTCTCAAGTTTTGCTTTTCTTAGGCGTCAAATATACTATAAATGTGAGACTTTTATTAAAATAAGTTTCTCTTTAGGGCTTCAATAAAGAGCCTAATTTGCAAATTTAGTTGAATTCTTTACGTTTCATTGAATTGGTTTCCGACTTTTATGGCTCTCTCTCTCTCTCTCTCTCTCTCTCTCTTATGTCATATCAACGAATATCTAACAATTCCTAACAATCGTTAACTTCAATGGCATTGTACGAAAGGTTTATTATAAGGGGAAACCGAATATATTATATATTAATGGAATGGGAGGTAATATTTGGTATTAAACAATATGAATATATAATATATTGTATTGTGTTGTGTTTCTCGAGTACTTCTCTCACAATGTCTTCAGAGCTAATGAATGACAAAATCGATACAAAGACAACATATGGTGCCATTAGAGGTGAAAGTGCTCTCAATTGTCGTAACACTGAATGAGATATTTATATCCAAATAACACTAAAAGTAGAGTATTATTAGAGTTACTCCACTCTAATGTATATAATAGTCATTCGTAAAAAAGTTTTCAATTTTTCACTAAATTCTCATCAATAAAGAGGTATTTGTGTCCTCCTCTTAAGACAAGCTCTCAATTCATCTTTTAGTCAAATAATCTTCTCATAAATTATTTGATTTCTACAGAAAAGCACACAAAACATAAAATCTCTTTTTCTTCATTTAGATCACAACATAGTATTGTATTTAAATATATCTTCGCTCAATAGGTCTGACGGTTTGGTGTAATCTTTTATTTATAGCCGAGGAGTGATGTGTAATGTGTTGTCGACCAATGAAGACAACCCTTCTCTGGTTGAGATAATAGACCCTCAGTTCAGAGCCTTCTGTCGTGTCCTCAACGCCAATGATGTCGAGAGAAAGAGACGATATGTTGAGCAATAAAACCGAAATAAATGTATAAGTTTTACATTTAATGTTCAAATGATGTGAATTTTGTTGACATTAACTCAATAGACAGCAAAATGTTCTCAATATTAGCTATAAGTGCAGGAATTTTCACGAATTGACTATTAGTTTGACGTGAAATTCGATGTATTTGTGAAATATTTTCAGTGAAAATAGACATAATTAAAGACTAATGAAAAGGGGTAAAGAACTCATGAACTATTCAGTAAATAACTAAAATAATAACTGATAGATAATGTGAAACAGTTTGTGGTAGAGTTACGATATTATTAAGATTAATATCATTTAAATTACTTATAAAATATTTCATTTGTTTATCAGTTATGCAATTAAATGCACTATTTTATATGCAATATTCTCATTGAATAATAAACGTGTTTTTCTAAACCGTGAAATATCAGTTGTCATTCACTGCAATTTCAATTAAAATATCAATTTCGGGTAAAACTCTTATACAGTACTGACAAACACTCGAGATTTTAGCAAAACATCCAAAATCACTGAATTGCATGCAATGCCAATAGCATACCTAAGCCACCAAACCATGCAATTTGTAAACAACTGCAACCCTCTCCCCTTTATTCCGA